TCCATTCAGTTGTACAAACCAAAAATACTGGCATCATCTTCTCTGTGCCTTATTCCCCAAATCCAGTGCATTAGTAAGCTGTGTAGATCCCACCCCTAAAGCACATTCCAAATCAATGATGTTTGCAGCTCCACCTCCGCCAATCTAGTCCTGTTCCTTCTTCCCTGCTTAGTCATTACTGCCCTGTGGAAAATCCTCCAGTAGCATCTCATTGCTCTTAGACAAAATCTAAACTCTTTACTCTTAGTTTTTAAAACCCATTCTTAACTGTAATTCTATCTTACTTACAAACCTCCAGCCACAGACCTTTTATTGCCACATTTGCCTTGGCTTAGGGCCTGGAGAGTGTTTCCTCCTTATCTTCCAAGACTGCCTCCCTCTTTACACTTAGATCTCAGTTTAAATGTCACCACCCTAAAGAAGACCTCTCTGACCTTCTAATCCAAAGTAGCCAACCAGTTACTTTTTGTCACTCCGCCATATTTTAATCCACTGAATAGCACTTTCCTTATCTGATACTTTTTTTTCTCATTTTTTTGTTGTTGTTGTTGTTTATTGTCTGTTTCCCTCAACTAAGATGTACACTCCTGAGGACAGGGACCTCCTCATCTATCTTGCTTACCAAGGAAGGAGGAGGATGGGATTGGGAAGAGTCATGGGGAAGGGACTTTTATTGGCCATGTCCTATTTCTTAAACTGAGTGGCAGATATACTGATATTCATTTTATTACTCTCTCTACGTTATTTGTACATTATATGTATTATTTTATATTAATTATTTTGTAACTTAAAAAGTAAGAAAGAAAAAGTTAAATTACCTACTTAAAACTTCTGTTATAGTTTTGGTAAATATTTCATCTGATTTGTAACCTAACAGCTATAATGATATGAATTCTAACGTTTGTCTATTTGGATGTTGTTCTAGGTTGGATTGTGTTCCCTCCAAAAAAGATATGTTAAGGTCCTAACCTCCAGCATCTTGCAATGTGACTTTATTTGGAAATGGGGTTTTTGCTTAGTTAGATATGCTTTGATTTGCTTAGTCAGATATGCTTAGTTAAAATGAGGTCATACTGGTGTAGGATGGGTATAACTGACGTTGTTATAGGACAGCCATGTGACAAGAGACACAGGGAGAAAGCCATGTGAAGACAGAGGATTGGAGTAGACACATCTACAAGCCAAGGAATGTCTAGAGCTATCAGAAGCTACCAGAAGTTAGGAGAGAATGTATAGAACAGATTTTCTTTCAGAAATTTCAGAAGGAGCGAACTCTGCCAAAATCTTGACTTTGGACTTCTGGCCTCTAGGACTGTGTGACAATAATCTCTGTTGCTTTAAGCCACCTAGATAATAGTATTTTATTATAGTAACCCTAGGAAGTAACACAGATGTGTTTAAAGGGAGTAGATGAAACACGCATGCCGATGATTAGGGCCCTTCTATAACAGAGGAGCGGGACCACCATGGATGTAGCAATGAAATTAAGTTCCTCTCCTTTTTTGCTGTTTCTTTTCCTCCTGCAGGCTCCAGTGTGCATATAGTGATAACACAGTGAGCCTGAGAGCTGATCCCAAATTTAAAGGTGCTTTAGAATGTACTAGGGTCTATGAGAAAATTAAATAGCACATTTTCCCCAGGACCTTCATCATCATCAGTTGAATCAATCATTGAGTCGCATTTACAGCTATTATTCATAGCATGTCTGGAACCATTATGACCTTTCAGATCTTATTATCTTAGTTGATGTTGGTAGAATTACATTTACATTGATTTCTGAAAGGCGGTGTGTTTGGGAGCATGCTTGGGTGGTGTTTACCAGATGGGATTGACTGGGTAAACAGAGATAAAGAGTTAAGAATGCTCCAGAGCTGGCCAGATGATAAAGGCAATTCTTATTTAAGAAAGATTGGATTTATGTTACCCATAAATCTGATTTGTGTCTAGGAAATTCTCCCTTATATCCAATAGGTAAATGGGTAGGGTTAGAGTGAGAGTAATATCTAATCTCTCAAGACCACTGCTGGACAGTAGAGAATAGGAGTTCCTCTTTTGTTTCCTTTACAGAAAACCTGAGAAATGTCAGTGTGTGGTCATGGTGCAGACTGTGCTTAACTTCCAAGGAACATTCAGTAAATAGTAAATGAGGTTACTTGGACAAAAGTCCTTGACAATGTGGAAAATAAGCCATGAGTGTTCATTATTAAATGATTTTATCTGTACATGAGTCATCTTGACTTGGTCAAAAGATTTCACTTGGTTGGAGATTTGGACTGGTGATGGCACACACCAGGCACTCTCAGATTAAGTGACTTCTGAATTACACGTGGCCAGATAACCTCTCAACAAAAGGCCAGGGGCAAGGGACTAAGACAGGCATTGAAGATAAGTATACCTGAGTGTGCATCCTCGCTCCATTCCTTACTAGCCACAGGCCTTTAGATAAATAATTTAGCTTCTCTGCATTTCAGATTCCTCACCTATAAATGGGAATAATGATACATACTTTTGAGAGGTCTTGTGAAGGGACCTCAAATGAGGCACACAGAGAAGTGAAATGGTCACTACTGTTATGAATGCTGCTTCTACCCACCCCACTGCCAGCAAGACTGACTGACTCGAGTGTCCTGTCCCCAGGCTTGGTCAGCCTGCCTGAGCCTTTGTGGTTAGCACTGACAGGCGGTCACTTAACACAGCACCTGTCCTGGCCTACTCACGTCCCGCCTAATCTCTCTCTGCTGCAGGGTCAACAACTGGCCCTTCCCTGCCTTTCTCTACTGGGCCCTCTCTCCTCCCTCCTCTCCTACTCCTGGATCAGTGGTGGGTTGCTAGGGAAAAGGCCAGAAAGCCAGAAGGCATTTTTAGGTGAGGCAGTAGCTCAGTTGTCCCAGAAGAGCCCATCTCACTAATGCTTACATTTCCTGGAATTTGGGGGAGGTCCTAGTGGGGGCTCAAGGAAGGAGCAGAGCAATGGCAGAAGCTATGGGACACTCAGGGGGCTCAGGGCAATGACTGTGTACAAACTGGCTCAGAAATACTTGACCTTTCATTAGCAGGCCATACCTGTGCATACCAGTTAACTATGAGCCCTGGTCCCAGCTTTCTCCATGTTCATAATAAGTTACCCTTTAATTGTTCTTCTTTTGCTTTTCCTCCTCTTCTCTTCTTGTCTCTTGTTCACTCTTTCATCTGGCAAATGTCAAATAATACAAGCCTTGGGCAAAAGGCCCCTTTTCTCCTACAAAGAAGCCAGGTGGAACCTAGGCTCGGGAGACTGAGGTAAGAGCCTATATTAATTTCCTACAAAGTACCACAATTGAGGGGCTTAGAACAACAGGAAGGTATTGTCTCACAGTTCCAGAGGCCAGCAGTCTGAGCTCAAGCTGTCAGCAGGACCTTCTGGAACGTTTAGGGGAAGGATCCTTCCTTACCTTTGCAGCTTCTATTAGCCCCAGACATTCCTTGGCTTGTGGCAGCAAAGATTCTCCTGCTGTTTCCACGTGGCATTCTCCTTTGTGTTTCTATACACATCTTCCCCATATTCGTCCGTGTCCAAATGTCTCCCTTTTATAAGGTCACCAGTCTTACTGGAATACAGCCCACCCTAATGACTTTATCTTAACCTGTTAAATCTGCAAAGACCCTATTTCCAAATGAGATTACATTCCTCAGAATTGGGGTTAGGATTTTAATATACAGTATCTCTTTTGCCGGGGAAGGCCTCAGTTCAACCTATAACAGGACCTTTCCCCACCAGGTAGTCTCTGGGTAAAAGATTCATCGGGTCTTCTGTCCTCATGACAACAGCAAAAGCCATGATATTACCAACTAAGAGCTTCTGTTCTCTACTCAAGCACAAGCATGCTGGGCTGAGGACATTCAGTCAACTTCAGGGGCAGCAAAGCTCACCAAGCTTCAGTACCAGAAGGCACTTCAGAGACTTCTGTGAGTGACCTACCCACTTTATGGATGAGGAAACTGAGAGTTAGAGAAATGTTTTACTCAAACTCTCAGAGCTTGTAAGGGCTACAGTCAAAAGTGTGATAGACTGCACATTACTTCTCTTCCATTATTCCATACTTTCAAAGGTGAGGTGTTGATTTAACAAACATTGTATCTGCTTTATTTGGGCGATGATTTTAATTCAATTCACCTTACCTTGTCTGTGTAGACATAACCTCTGACGCAGTCCTCAAGAAAATATTTCTTAGAGACACTAGTGCATTCAATGAGCCTGTAGGAGTACTAATGAGAACCAGTGGGTAAGGCATTCTAACAATCCCCAAATGTGTTTTTAACACTGTTATTGTTGTTTTAACATTGAATACACTTAACCAGGAAATCCAAACTTCTTTCTGAAGCATTCCAACTGTTGTGTTTATACCCGGTTGCCACACAACATTTGCTCCTACTGTGTTTTAGTTGGCAAGGGCTCTAGGACAGGTTTTTGTAGCCAAGTAGCCTCAGATAGGGAATCTTTCCAGTCCCCAGAGACCTGGCACAGCCCCAGAATCAATAGTCATAGGAACCAGTGCCAACACTCCTCTCATCCAGGCCTTTAGCTAACCTTGGACCAACCGCCTATTTAGACGCTGTAGCTGGATAGGAAGAACCAGCTGAAAAAATAGAGCCCTCCAAAGGTTATAGATAAATACGGAAAAGCTGCTTTTTTCCCCCATCAGGGAAAAAAGGGGAATCCTGCAGAGGATATAGTACATTCTTCACTCCTCCCCAACAAAAAAATCTTAACTGCAGCCACGTTGTCTATTTCCTGAATTAAAAATTGGATAAACACATTCAATATTTTACTATCATTATATATTTTCCAGAATATAGAATATGGAATTCTTCCACCATCACAGTGTATTTTCCATTTTTATTACACAATTCAGAGACTGTGAAATAAAAATATATATGATTGAAATGGCAGTGTGTAAATCTGATGTCTTTCTCCCTAGGATATATCATTCATTCATTCATTCAACAAACTTTGAGCATACCTGCACTGTGCTGTGCCCTGGGATTCCTAGACGCATAAATCTGGGTTCCAGGTTGTCAAGGAAGACACTGTGAACCCGTTGTGATCCATTGTGACACTTGCCATAAAAAAGGCATGTGAACAGTGGCAGATATGGGGCAGATATGAATGGGCATATAGGGGCAGATATGAATGATTAATTCTTCTTAGAGGGAGACACAGAAGATGGTTGACATTTGATGACAATCAAAAGGTAGGGCCCAATTGGTGTTTTAGAAAGTTACCATGGCAACAGTGAAGAGTCAGGCAGGCAGCACAGTATGCCTATACTGTACACCTACTCTGGGCCCAGGCCTAGGCATTTTCCATGAATATTCAAAATTTCCTTCAGCTGTATCCTTCTCAGAAGGCAGACGGGGTAAGAGCAGTTCTCTGTACCCCTTCTAAGGTATCCTGCTGTGAAGAGGGTAGAGCTCTCCTTGGCAAGCCTCATCTTTCTGCAGATGGACCTGGTGCAGGGTAGGCTAGAGCCTTTCTGATGGCCCCTTTGTCCAACACCCTGTCCAGGAAAAGGCTGCCTTTGTTCACTTTTCTGACCAAGTATCAGATTACACCCTCTAGCTGAGGATGCACCAGGAGCTGTAGTTGTCCTAGAGGTGGGGGTGAGGGATGTCCCAGAGAGGTGGGGAGGAAAAGATGGGTGGTGGGGGGAGAGTGAGACCAGAGAAGGGGAGGCTGGAGGTATGGAGCTCATCTGGCTTTATTTGGATATTGCTCTCCTGGAAGCCGAATAGAAAATAGAACTGAACACCCATGATTAAAAAACGCAATACATGCTAAGAAAGTCTAAAGTAATTTACGCCAGACATTAAAGTGTTTTGCATGAGAATATAGTATGATGTAGACAACGCAAGAATTATGTCTTTCATTAAAAGGTTTGCAACTCAGTGTGCTGTGATATAACTGTAGTAGTTTTTCTGTCTTGGTGATACTTTTTTATTTTAAACACTGCCTTACAAACTGAGGAATGCAAATGCATCGGGAACACTCAGCCTCTGGGTTTTAACTTATTGTCACCTCTTACTAATCACTTCCCTTTAGTACTTTACCTGCCTGTGCCAAGGTGAAAGGTGAACAGTTCTACTGCCATTGCCCCTCAACCCCATGTATCCTGAACCCAGCTATAAAGTAAACTGTCATTTCTTTCTTCATTATTCAAAGTTAGCATTTGCTAGTTCAAAGCCCATTTGAGATTATGCATCAAGAATGATATACATTAAAGTTGGGATTAAAGGAAAAGCAGTTACATGAAAGAAAGGTGTTTTTGCCACAAATCTTGTGTGCATATGTCAAGAAGTATATTCATTGCCTAATTTAAAAAGAAACCAGGACGACTCCTAGAGATATATACCTGCATCTGGCCCGTCTTTTCATAAGAACACTTTCTGTTTGAAGTTGAACTGTGAAGTTAGAGGAAAAACATCTCTCTGTCTAGAACATGCAGCTTATTAAAAAAAAATCTAGGTGTAATTCTGATTTTAGGCACTCATAAAGAGTAAAATCAAAAGTTGATCCATCTGAACATGCTTAGACAGGTCAAGAAAACTGGGCGTACAAGTAAGGCTGATTTAGGTTAGCTACAGGAAGAGATAAGATGAACTTTCAAAATCCCTTCTATTGATTGTTGCCTGCTGCTGATTTGATACAAATCTTGGTGATGCCCACTGTGAACCAAGGAACCTGCCCTGGGCCCGGCACTGAATTAGGTGCTATTCATGAATCATTCTACTGAATCCTCAGATGAGTCCTGAAGTTCAGAAATTATGAATTTCTACGGTATATCATCCTCTTCAGCATAATTTATCATATAACTTGGACTATTTTTAAATTAGGCAGCTAGGATCTCAGATCTGATGCAATACTGAATAGGAAACTACTGTGATTATATTCTGTACAATGCTCAGAACTCTGTGAGCTCATACATATGAAACAACAATAATAATGGCTATATTGTTGCTGGACTGGTTTGCAACATATTCAGAGAATGTCATGTGCAAATCAAATGCATGAATGTGAATTTACAAAGAAAGCTGGTACCCTTATGGAGCCATTATGGCTCTGAGAAACTAAGTGCCTTCTGGTCTCTGTGATGTTCCTAATGCCACCCTGGCTCCCAGCACAATGTCTAGCATTTGGGACAGGTTTGATAAATGTGTGCAGAACTGAACTTAGGCACAATGACCTCTTTTTCAGGCCCCTCCTAAAGTATCCTGAGCCCTCTCATTTCCAAACATTATAGTGGGAAGGTCAGAGGGGTGAGGCCTTTCCATGTGTCTCTGGCATCCTGTCTGATCAAGGTTGACAAGCAAGAGTGTTATCTGAGGCCTCCAAAGCAGATACCCACAACCCAGTTTTGATTTTAACTCAAAGTCAGAATTTTGCTAAAGGGCTCTTAGGGGTCTGGTTAGGGGCTGTGTGAGCTGTAGACTTTGACTAGCAGCTTTCTTCTTCTGTCACTTGGGGAGAGGACTGAATCTTTCTGTGGGTAAAATCTAGGGAAACAACACTTCTGTCTTATATTTTTTGTACCAATCTTAGCCATTTCATCATTTCCATCTGGCTTTGCTCTTACATAACAAAAACATCAAAGTGGAGTTGGCAAGGCTCATTGCCAAAATATGCCTTCATTGTCTATGTTAGTTCTTCTCTTTCCAGTCAATAAAGAAGAATGTTTTATTGTGGTTAATGTCACTTGTTTCATGGGAAAAACTAACTTAGCAACTGTCTCTAACCCTGAACAAATCTGATCGTTTTAATAATTAAGGAGAAAACAAGTATTTATTAAGTCCCTTAATTTGGGCTGGCCATTTTGTTTAATACAACCCTGTTTTCATCTATCTATCTTGGTGGTGAAGAAATCGGAAAGGCTCAGAAAGATCGAGCAATTTGCCCACAATCACATAGTGAATTGGTGGAGTTAGTGACCGATTTAGGATCGCACTCAGGTCCGTTTGAGAAGTGAGCCTGAGCTTTTTCTACCAGACTTTAAGACCTTCACTAGCTCATTACAGACACAGAATCACCGAATCATAACTCTGCCAATGTATCCTGACCCTGTGCGAGTTACTCGAAGCTGTCTCTCTGTTCTAAGGACACATGAAGCACTGCCCAGGGTTGATACCCACCTCTGTGAACACGGACACTGGGGAGTGGCTGCCGGGTGTGCTGGAGGCTTTGGAAAGGACTGGGCAGGCATCACAGGCCACCTTAGCAGCCCTAAAGAGCCCCGATGGCTGTGGCCATGGGTGTTTCCAACCAAAATAATGTCAGGGCAGCCTTTGAGGCTCTGGATGGGGCCAACCTTGTCAGTCCCACCAAGAGCGCTGCGGTGCTGACCAGCATCTTGCAGCAGCTGCGCCAGCCTGCGGTCACACTTACAAATCAATGATTCCCATTTTTGACAGTGAATTCTTTCTTAATCACCTAAAATGTATACAAAATTGTAAATCAAAAGCATGAGGCTCAACATGATTTTAAGGTTACCCACTGCACACAGTATCTTTACATGTAGATAAGTAAGATACCACTGAAATGAGGTCACACGTACTTGTAAGCAGTCCACTCTCTTCCTTGTGGAAAGAAGTTAACGGGTGAAATGAATAGAATCAACATGCTTTTTATTATCTTAGCAAATATTTTTAATTGGCTTGGATGAGGAGGTGAGTGCCTATTTCCCAGGTTGATTTGATAGTTAATGTATCTGGTGGTGGGGAAGTGGAATGGGGACTGCAGGGGGTAGATGGCTTCTACCCCCGACACATTACATTTATTGAGCAAACCTCTCTGCTAACAATAATCTGTATTTGCAGCCACCCCCAAGCACTAGCATCACCGCCTCAGCTCCACCTCAGATCATCAGGCATTAGATTCTCGTAAGGAGCGCACAACCTAGATTCCTTGCATAGGCAGTTTATAGTAGGGTTCCCGCTACTATGAGAATCTAATGCCACCGCTGATCTGACAGGAGGTGGGGCCCAGGCCGTTATGCCAGCAATGGGGAGTGACTGCAAACACAGATGAAGCTTTTGCTCACTTGCCTGCTGCTCACCTCCTTCTGTGTGGCCTAGTTGCTAACAGGCCATGGACTGGTACTGGTCTGCAGCCTGGGGTTTGGGGACTATAGGCTTAAACAACAGAAATTTATTTTTCACAGTGCTAGAGGCTGGGAAGTCCAAGATCAAGGTGCCAACAAGATAGGTTTCATTCTGAGACCTCTTCTTTTGGCTTGTAGGTGGCTGCCATCTTGCTGTGTGCTCAATGGCCTCTTCTCTCACCAGAGAGCTCTGGTGTCCCTTCCTCTTCTTATTAGGACAGCAGTCCTATCAGATTAGGACCCTGCCCATATGACCTCATTTAACTTTAATTATCTCCATAAAGGCCTTATGTCCAAATACAGTCACATTGGGAGTTGGGGCTTCAACATATGAATTTGGGGGTCAGGGGACACAATTCAGTCCACAGCCTGGAGCTTTTCCCATTCTTCAACACAATCCCTCTCTTCCTTGCTCCCCTTATACTTAGCCACTCAGACTACCTTGCCCCAACCCCACAAGTCATATGCTGTTTTACATTCCCCCTGCTCTTTGTCCTCTGCTTGTGCTTCAAGTTTCAACTTAATGGCTGTCACACCATGGAGCCTCCTGGATTGGTCATCCTCTGAGTTAGATGTTTTCCATGTGTGTCACATGTGTGCCCTATGTAGGGGTCATGTGTGTACATCGCTGCATTCAGAGCATTCTATTTTGATTAATTTGTTTATGCATTGGTCTCTCCAGTCAGAATGAAAATTCCTGGAGGGCAGGAACTATCTCATTGATTTTAATCTTCTCTCCCTGTTGCCTGCCCAGCATTTGGCACATAGTAGGTACCCACTAAGCACTGGTTGAATAAGCAGGCAGCAGGTTATAGGAAGGAAAGATTGGTTATCATATTCTTTTTCTCCATTTCACCACCATCCACTTCAAGGAAATATTTTCATGTGTGTCAGCAGCTGAAGGGGAAAGTAAAGAGTAAGAATGAGAACACTTTT